CATTTGAATGTTTGTATACAAAAGACTTCAATATGATTGACCATCTGAATTAGCCACTCTCTGTCCAAAGCTGTTAATGAAATAAAGCACATTATGTTAAAAAGAAAACAAAATTCAATATAGAATATATTATTTAGGTTATTAAGTATGCAACATCCGATTTCCTTAAATACTAAGTTTGACAGTTGATATCTCTGACATTTCACTTTGACATTCCTTGGTTTTTTTTTTAATTGTGAAGGTACATCTTCATTCTTTCAAATGCACATTTTGGCTTGTGATTATCTTTCAAATTTTTTTTAGAGAAATTTTTGTGAAACCATGGATAAGTCAAAAATTCATGTTATTTTTGAATATGAGTTTCGTTGTGGAACCAATGCAGTGCAGATAGCTCAAAATATCAATAAAGTGTTTGGGAAGGATGTGGCTAATGAATGCACAGTATGTCAATGGTTTGAGAAGTTCTACTCGTCGTGATTTTAATCTTGAAAATGAGCCATATGGGTGACCTGAGACCAAGGTGGATAATGATGAGCTGTAGTGGAAGCAAATTCATCTCAAACTACACATGATTTAGCAGGTTGATGTTACTATTCCAATAATATTGGACATTTGAAACAAATAGGCAAGGCAAAGAAGCTGGATAGATGGGTACCGCATGAATTAAATGAGCATCACAAGACAGATCGTCTCGAAGCTTGCCTTTCTTTGCTGTCACAACATAAAGGCAAACCATTTCTACACCATATTGTTATGTGTGATGAAAAATGGATTCTTTTTGACAATCACAAGCATTCGGCACAATGGTTGGATAAAGATGAAGTGCCGAAACACAGTTTAAAACCGAATATTCACCAAAAAAAGCTAACGGCATCTGTTTGGTGGTCCAGAGAGCTGGTATCGACTACAGCTTCATGAAACCTGGTCAATCAATTACAGCAGATGTCTACTACAACCAATTGGATGCAATGATGAGGATGCTTGTGATTAAGCAACCAAGATTGGTCAAAAGAGACAGGCCAATCCTCTTGCAAGACAACACTTGCCCACATATCACACAATGCTGCTCAAACTACAGCAGCTAGACTTGGAAACTCTCTGTCATCCACTATATTCACCAGACCTTGCACCAACTCACTACCACTTAGTCCAGGCTTTGGACCACTTCTTGCAAGGAAAAATATTCAACTGTCAACAAGCTGTGAAGAATGCTTTTTCCAATTTTATCACCACTCACTCTTCAGGCTTCTTTGCTGTTGGCATAAGGAAGCTACTGTTAAGATGGCAAAACTGTCGATAGTTGAGGTGTATACTTTGATTAATTGCACTGCTTCTTGTTTGAGATATAATAAACTAAACTTTTAATTCAAAATCATACATTTCATATTTAATGACCTTAATAGTAACTAGGGAACACTGCTACTACTTGTTAAGGATTATAACATATTTACAGAAGTTTCATTACAAACTCTGACTTGGGCAGCAGATAATAAATGAAGAACATCCTGGGGGCATGAGGTACAAAGGTGAAAGTTTAAAACTTTCAGAAAATACCTTTGTTAAATTAAACCACAGATGTCTGTTCTTACTATCTTAAAAAGAGAATGTAGCTTTACTATTAATAAAATACGTATAAATTGTTTGCACAGAAGTGATGGACAATTTCTCAAAAAAAAAAAAAAAAGAATAAACAACAAGAAATTCAAGTGCAAAGTGGCAGGAGGCAGTCTATATGGTTCATCTATAAATTCTGGCCAATAACCAATTTCTTTCTATTTTTAGTAGAGACAGGGTCTCGCTCTTGCTCAGGCTGGTTTCCAACTCCTGAGCTCAAACAATCCGCCCGCCTCG